TTTTTCCCCCCTCTTTAACCATTAGCATTTGCTGTTGCTAATTCTGGTATTCAAGTTACTGACTGTCAGTAATTCCTACCCAAATCTGTTTCCTGAAGATCCTTCAAGATATGAGGTAATCTGATGATGTGAATACGCACTTCTAGGTCCCGGTACACATTCACTTTTGTCTATTAACGCATGATGCAGGAGGAGCAAACCTCTTACTTCCATACCTAAGGTTATGGAATTTACCACTGTAAATACTCAGGAAAGATAAAAAAGTTGAAAAAAACCCAGCAATAAAGTAGGAAGAAAATACAACTGCACCACAACAAGCATAATGAATGATAGAAAATCTGTCTCAATGTTATACAACCCTTGTTCTTGCATCAGAGAACTGCACAAAGACATAATGTTTGTTTGGTAACATTATTATTTAAAAACCCATTTAATGGTCCCTTTTTGCTTTTGGGAAGAGTCCCATATCTTTACACTGGGAGGCACTGACTACTTTTAGAGGAGAGTGATTCTGACTCCCCTCCTGGCTCAGCTAGCATTTATCACTCTGCTTTCAGCCCGGTACCCTAAACATGGGCAGAAATCCTTAACACAACACCGGTTACAGGTCTCCCTGTTTCTGCTTCTAGGGCTCCTGAAGTGCCCGGCTGCCGCATCTTAATCAGGGTAGCTTGGGATGTAGCAGGTGAGACAACAGAAGTTTCCTCTGGGTCAGATTCCTGAAGAGAGATGGTTTAGCTTGCTCTGATGCATGAAGTGCCATCAGTTGGTCATCTCAAGTTGGTCATGTCCAAGCTCTGCTGACTGCTGAGGATTCAGGATCTGATGACAGTCTGCTGATGGCTGTTCTCCAGCTGCAGTATGGTAGTCAGTTGGACTAAAGCAATTAACCACTAAGATTCAAAGCTTCTAAGATATATTTTTAATTTTCAGTCAGATGTGCCCTGAAGCTTATCTCTAACCTCTGATCTATTACAGGTCATCATAGTATAAACCCACTTGGGTCTCTGAAGTGCAGTTTTCCACCAGCAGCTTTATGCAGATAGGGTGGAGGAAGGTGACCAAACCCCTGAGCAGATGACACCCATTAGCACAGGATGCCTCAGTTTAAATAGGTCTTAAAAGTTGTAGCAAAGAACCTCTCTCGGATGCCCCTCAAGCACCTTATATACCCTGGGCAACAGTCCAACTCCTTTACATTTCAGGCCCCCTACCTCGTGGAAACCAGTTAGGGATCAATAACACACTATTAAAGGGAGTGCTCACTCAAATCGATCTTTCCTTGTTGACTTGCAACTTTGTCGTAATAAGCTGTTAAAATGTTTTACAGATCTGACTCTCCTGTGCATCTGCCACTCTACAACCCATAAGCTTCTCTTCTTTCCTCACCCCTCCCTTCCAGATAATGGATGCATGTTTTTCCCTCTAGTACCACTTGGGTCATTTTTAGGTAACTTAAGTGTACAAACCAGAACTACTCCCAAAAGAGGACAGCAGATGTACTGTATCAGTGTCACTAGTTCTTTCATTCTGATGATTCATTCTGCGATGCCTGACGCAGCATTGGGACCACTTCAACACTCAGCCATTACTGGATGGACAGGCAGGCAGAACCCAACCTTGTCTGAAACTGGATACCTCTGCTTCTTCCCAGCCTTTCCTACGATGGATGCACCAGCTTGAGAAGGGATCATCTCCTCCTTTGGGAACAGTACACTCATTGAATTACAACCATACCAGGGAATTCTTGCCCCAGCGTACCCCACTATATCCAGAAACTGTCTCAAATCTACTTGGTTGCCTCTAGACCTTCTTCTTTTTCTGACACCAAGAACCAGAGACACAAGGTCAGAGCAGGGGAGCACAAGTGCAAGGCTAGGTCATAGCTGGAAACATTGCTCCTTGATGGGAAACATCATCATTTGGAATTCCTTTAGGAAACCAAAAAAGCTATCCTTTGTACAGTCTTTAGCCTAGGGAGGCCAAAGACTAAACTATAACACTGGGAAGCGTGTTTAATAAAAGCACTCTCAGGTGCTTTGACACAGCTGGAGTTACCTACAAGCTGTGCAGACCGTAGCACTGTTGGTGCACACTTCTTGTAGCTACCCTTTGCGAGCAATGCTCTCCCCAGACCTACATAGAAATATTTATTGCAATTCATCTCACAGAAGTCTAGTGCTAATCTTAACTCATGTTAGTGGTGAGCTTTGCCTTCTCACCCTACCAGTATTCTGCATGAATGTACTCTCACTAGACTTTATTTATTTTCATAGTAAACACAAATCTGGGAGAAGCTTTCCTGTGCCCTCTGCTGGTTTTCCAAGGCACCCATTTTCAGCTTAGAGTTAAGAAACTCTTCCTTTAAAATACCAGTAGGTTTCCATACCTCTCCTCCATTTTCTTTGACTAAACCGCAGTAAGAAGTATAGGACAGAATCATAGGTGCATACTGTACAAATTGCCTCCTTCAGCTTCCCTGCGACCTGACAAATGACTACCGATTTTCATTTCGCTTACTTGCATTTCTTTCTGAACTAGACTGTTCAGGAAATTCAGGCATTCTCCTTCTTCCCATAACAGCAGGTTTCTTTGAGCAAGTCTGTGCAGAGAACAGTAGTTTCCTTTGGTGGCCCTTTCATGTTGAGGAGAGGAGTAAACTCCATGCACCTTCAGCCTGAGCCTTATGGACCTAAAGACATTTGTCATTGCATCAGTTATCTCCTTGTATTTCTGCCTTCACTGCCAAGACTTTTAACAGCTACCTTTAAGACTTTAGCAACTGTACTAGGTTATGCTCAAGACTTTTCCAGGGTAATTGTCCTGTCCTAAATGTAAGTTTCAGATATTCCATGAGTGTCTTCTGAAAGCTACAGACTGAACACTGCTCTGATGCTCACTGCTAATACTGGTATTCAGAGCCGGTTCAGTAGGCTTCAAGTTAAGATTCTGGTTAAGAAGTCTAACCCTTCTATTTCTAAATTTTGTGGCATTTCATTTTGCTCTATGTGTAAAGACAATCTAACTTTTCCGTGAGCATCAGACCCTTTGATAGTAATCCCTGAAGAAAAAGATACAAGCAGTTCCAAGGGTCAGATGCTGAGGTTTGACAAATACAAGTAGGATATACCCTCAGTACTAGAAATCTGTAATTGCAAGTTGGGCCAGGTTATGAGTGTAATAAAGGAGATGACGTCACATAGCTGAGACTAGATCTCTTACTTCTAACTTTGAGAGCAAAGCCCAATGACCCAGACCAAACCCTCTAGAATAAATTCAAATGTCAGTGAGATGCAGCTATGAATACACATTGGCAGTAACTCAGCCTTGCCAGGAAAAAAAAAAAAAAAAAAAGAGGTACTCATTCATCAACTCAAATTTAGTTTAAGATTTTGGATGTGAACACAGTCTTTCTTTAAAATTCTCTCTGCTTCAGTTTTCTCTTCACTCATTCAGCACCTTTTTAAGGTAGCAGTCACTTGATTTAGAATGCTGTGTCAAATCTATAGCCTGCATTACTGATCAAGTTCTGTCTTCTCAGTAAAAACAGGAACAGCAAAAAACTTCCAAGGCGGTAGAACTTACTAAAAAAAAAAAAAGAAAGAAAAAACCCAACCACAAAACCAAAAACCAGCAAAGCAAAACACCACAGACAAATCCACACAAGAATACACAGCATGCATCTCCATTGTGAAATGACCACTTTTCCTAAGAGTCCTGTAAATATACCACTCCTTTAGAAGTGCTGATGTGCTGACAGAACTACTTTTCTGAACTTACTTCTTAGGGAGACTCCAGTAGATTATTTTAAGAGGTCAAAACACAGTGTTAATTGACAAAGTCTCCTCCTACCATTCCTAGTGATATTATGCACATGCCATTCACAGGAGAGAAAGAAAACTTATATTAAAATTATGCCAATGAAAGCTACTACTAGGGAATCCAGAATAATCTTAAAATGCAGAAGTGCAACTTGACTGTAACAAGCTGCAGTTGCCTTCACAACAGACAAGCAAATAAATAGCAGTTTTCCTGTGGCATACACTCACAGTGTCCAGCCACAGCTGGGGGCTTCGTGAGCTAGCCTACACCTTTGTAGTTGCCCACCTACTTACATGAAGATCAGAAGAACTGGTAAGGTCATGGAAGCTTTTAACATCTACAACACCAGGACATCAGCACTCAGCTCTTTAACAAGCAGGTTTTCTCCACACCTGCCTGTAACAGTTCACCTGCTGAAGTGGAGAGCATGCCTCCATTTCAGCCAATGCACGTCTTGGGTCACTTCCCTTCAGCAAGATTATAGGAAACACCAGTACTCAACGGAAACAACGAAAGCTGACATCAATAGTACCTTCAGAGTTTTCATCAGGAAATCTTTAACAGATCATCGGAAATCTTGGTTGACATTCATCTAAATGTTATGGTAATTTTGAGCAGGTTTTAGGTAATGAAAATTCATTAACTTCAACATAAGACAACTGCACTGTACGTTATTAATCCAGCCCTGAGCTGGAGCACTAAGGAAGTACAGTCAACTTCTGTGGACAGTATTAATCCTGGAGTTATGCTTTCCATTAGTGCATTTCTTCAATTATCACTTGACCTTCCCAGAATCTCACATTTTCACTGCAATAGTGCCAGCTAGAAGTCCAAAACACCCAGCTAACTTATGCCTGGCACCACAAGTGAACGCCTTTGATACACTCCATCTCGGGCTCTTAGATCCGGGATCTTCTCTTGGCCTCAACTATTTTGCAGAATTGGAAACTAAAGATACTCAGACAAATGACAACGTCAACTGCCCCACACAAATGGATTGCACAAAGAAGTGCATGCATCTTTATTCATAGCCATGATTACTTTGCCACATATTCCATTTAAGAGATTTTATTTTTTATGTTAGGCCAACCATCATTGCACCGAGAGAGACAACCTCCCTGCTCTTCTTCTTACAGACAGGAAGACACACCAGCATACACATCCTCGTTTGATAAGTACCAAGTCCATTTTAGTAACACAATCCTCGACCCAGAAACCATTAAATCCCCCTTCCCAAAACCAGTTGCATGCAGCTCTCTTGGGAAGTCAAAACCTGACTTGCACCCGGAAATGCATCTGCTTTGTAGCATTGTTACTCATTCCTGTCTTGAGCATCCACTTTGACTTCATCCTCTGCAGGTACTGCATATCACGCTGCTGAGCAAAGACTGCCCCTTCAGAGAGAGAGAGAAGGAAGAGAAAGAGGGATAAGTGTTTGTAAGATTACTTACTACTTATATGCACACTGGCTAATCTGTCCATTTAAACTGGAGTTAGCTGTATGTTTTCCTTCCCATACAGCCACACTTCTTTTCACTTATCTCTTGGGAAAGGCCAGTTCCTTCCATGAACACCCATGACTGCGATTAAGGGAAAAGGTTGTTTTGCGTTCTAGTGTGCGATTCCTTTGTTTCAAAAGTGGATATAGATCACATCACTGCTCCCCAACTGAAAAAGTATTTCAACTGTCAAAGTGTGATTTATGTTACATTATTAAATAGCAAGAGTAGTGGTTTTGACAGGCAGAGAAAGAATTATTACCCTAGACACCAACAAACCTTAGAAGTCACTATCACAGACGTGTGCTAATGAACTGAAGGGCTTGCACAGAAGCTGCAATGGACTTCAGACACAAACGACTTCCTCTAACTTATTCTGTTTGGATGTCAGGAATGAAAGGGAACTGAGTGGAAGACAAACTACTGCACAAAACCCCACAAATGTGAAACAAACTCGACATATTTAATTGTCGAGTGATGACACCCTAGAAATGCCTCCTCTGCAAAAACCTCACATTGTCACTTACCTGTCTGACTTGTCCAGCCCAAAGCTCTGTACTGCTGCAACACCCGACCCACTGCTTTCTTATTTTTTGCAACAGCCACCGTTCTTGACAGACCAAACCGTTGCTTGTAGTATCTCATTAAAGAACGATGACCCACTCTTGCACCTGTTCAGAGGAGGGGACATCTTATTATGCATAATGAAGCAGCTTCTGAAATACAGCGAGCATATTGTGAAAACTGGAAAATCCCTATGCTGAGACATGCTTTTAAAAGGCCCAGAAACTTAAAAACTTGAAGACTATTACAAACTCAATGTAATTCCTGTAAAAGCTGCTGTACTGCACTTTAGCTTGAAGAAAAAAAACCCAAAGAGTGCTGTTGTTCAAGAGGACCTTAGGTCAGATAACAAACACACAGATATCAGAAAAGTTTAATCAGGGGAATGAGCAGAGAGGCGATGCTGTTTCAGGTAACTAGGGAAGTAACTTGCTGACATTCAGGAAATCTGTAACTGCATAGTTGGCAGCACTTTTCAGAATGAAAGGGCTGAGGTCTCCTCATACAAAAAACACCAAAAAAAAAATGCAAGCAAGAGTGCCAAATGCTATACAAGGCAAGAGTAAGGTTGTTTTAATAAATTTTACTGAGTTTACTAAATTAGTTACCAGCTGCTTCTCTGCAAAAAACCCTACACTGGAAAACCTAAGTTATAGCCTCTCCAAGTTGCACTAAAACAAGACATGGAAACTCTTGGAGTATACCATGCGAGTCACACGTTAATGAAGAGTTCAAGTGGGCAAAGGAAACTCTCACCCCAGTCCATGTATACATTAATGCTGAAGAAGGTGAACTGCTTGGTAGTGAAAATAATGGAAGGTGAGGACAAAACCCCAAAGACATTTAGATGCAAAATTACTTTCTCCCTCGCCAAAGGAAAACATTTACCACGACGACCTATGCTGTAGCTAATGGCTGCAGCTATGAGCAATGCAGAGAAAGTATGTCATAACACAAATCCTATGCCTGCCTGAAGGAAGGATCAGCTCCATGGTGTCATCATCATAATCCAACTCTCTCTCTGCTGGGCGCTCTCCAGGCACCTCCACATCTTCCCCATCCTTGTGATCAGGGTAACTGCTCCTGTGGAAGAGTAACAGTACATGGTTTGTACATGGTGAGCAGTCACAGCTATTCAGACCCATCACACAAAAGATCTGCCACAGGCAGCTACAGCAAGCCACAAACATTGTCATGTTTCACCTACCTTGGTTTGGGAGTTCCTCCCAGTAGTGCCCTGCCCTGAACAGGGGCTGAAGACAAGGACCACCCTTCCTCCACCCGGTTCCATAACCCAGCACGGTCCTGCTGCTGCACGCTTAACAGTGACTTGTGATGAAAAGACACCACTGTGCAGCCCACCAGCTCTGCACAGCTACTGAATGAGCACTCCGAGAAGCACCGCTAAATCCATCTGTCCCCATAATAGGGGGTATTTCTGACCAAAATGCATACAGCCCAGGATAAGTTACAGGAAGTTCAACAAGAGGCCTCTAAACCACAGCAGTCCTGTTTAACTCCAGCTACTTTAAAAAAAAAATTAAAAAAAATCCATAGTAGGTATGAAGCCCACAATCTCCCTGAAAGATAATGGAAGGGACAGTTATTCCCTTTTACAATCTTTGCCGGTGCACTGAAACCTAACTCACTAACAACAAACATACAAAATAGAATTCAAAATATATTTTCATGCAGGACTGATATTAGCGGTCACAGGAGAGAAGAACCAATCATGTTGTTATGCTTGCCTAGAAAAGTGGTGAACCAGCTATGCAAAATAAGCATCAGAACCAGAAACAGAAGTAAATTTTAAGTATGAATAATAGTTTCTGATATGATGTCCAACTGTCCTTTTGTCTGCCACATCTGCGCTCCACTCAAAGAAAAGCATCCTCACCTGAAATCATAGAAGTCTGCAAATTCCAGGGCAGCATCTCCATCTGTGAAGAGTTTGCAGTGGCTTTTATCGTTCATGTGAGCTTGTACTGCTTCTGTAGAGTAGAAGGATTTCCCTTTTTCATTGCACCAGATGCAGATTTTCCCAATGCCAACTTTCTCTCCTGCAGAAAACATTGATACTTGTATTGGTCTGAGCAGAGCATCCCTAGTCAATAATTAACATTTCTGTGATGTAGGCTTCCCAGCTTGCAGGCAGAGACTGAGGAAGAGCCTTGAGCCCTTCATTTCCAGAAAAGTCCTGCTGTTCCTATGCTGTGACCATATGGCTCCACGAGGGACAAGTCTGTGCATTTAAAGATTTCATATGACAAGGTACAGATTATGATGTACTCTCAATAACAAATTTCATACTTCCAATACAGTTTTCTATCTGATACCCCAAAATTATTTTAGTCTCATCATTATCTGTATACTTCAAGGAAGATACATTTTTTCTAGCTTTTAGCTCTCTCACAAGTATTGTAAACTGATGAGGCAAATACTCACGACTCCTTAGTAAGATAAGACAGTTCATATGCTCACTTTAGCAACAGAGTTTTGTCCCAAATTTCATGTTAGCTGAACAACTTTTGAGAAAGCTGTAAAAAACTACGAGACACCTACAGGGTACAAGACCATGTGTTTGCTCAGTGGAGTTTTCTCTCACTCTCCCTGGAAAGTTTGTGGTCCTGTTGATGATCAAAATACTGTACCAGAGATTTTTACACCAAAAAAAACCCAAAACAAAAAAAACATGTTAAGACATATCCAAGTGAAAAAAAGGAATAACAGTGTCTCATTATCTTGATGAAAAAAATCAGAGAACAGGCATACCCAGGTACTTGATTAGTCCTCTGAGATCCACAAGGTACTCTATGTCTGGAATGAAGAAACTGTGAGCTTTTGTCATATGGGCTACATTTTTTGTCAGAGATCTTGAATGGTGTGGACAGAACAAGCAGTCTGTGACTGGTATGGCCCCAACAGCAGGAGTGCTTTCAGCTTCTGCCTGCTCCTCCTCTTCTCCCACACTTTCCGTCTCTTCTTCAGATCCAATGTCTTCATCAGAATCAATATCTTCCCAGTCTTTTAACGGAAGTTAAAAAAAAAAAAATTATTTACACGATTACTTCTCACAAGCAAAACAAGTCCCAAATAAGCCAGAAAAAGTTGTCATAGAAAATACTGCATTTTGTATTTGCAGCTAAATGCCACAGAGTCACTGCCAGGTGCAAGAATATACCATTGCCAGTAAAACACATTTCCTCCTAAGATGCGCAGCAAAGCTCAATGTAGCTCATTAAAAAGTTGGCAGATCTGCTTTTCCCCCCCCCTCCATTTTCTCAAATATTAACACTTCATTGCTGTTTCAAAGTCTTTAATTTAATTTGCCGTAGCACAAGAACACATGTATGGCTCATTGAAAACACCACAACTCTGATAAAATTGTGAAAATATTCATTTCCAGCAGCGACGGAAAACACGCTCCTGTTCACATGTACATCTTTAACAACAGAGAATAACGAAGCCAGCTGTCACAGATATACTATGCCACATTATATGTTAGTATATACCAAGATATCCTAACAATTTTACGCATTTGCAAGATTACTGCAGAGCTTGTTAACAGACAGACAATCCAGCAATCTGATTATACTGCTAGAGGGGTCTAGAAATCGTTTTTAAACAGTTCGGGTCTGGGGCAGTGAGCATTTCCCAGTACTCTACTCCTACTGGTCCCCTTGCAACTGCCAAGCACACACAGCATTTGAGAAGAGGAAACATGGTGCTCCCCAGTGTTGTAGGCTGCTAATCAGAGATCTTTGCTATAGGATACAAATAGCAATAATTTTAAATAATTTTAAAAGCCTGACACTGCATTAACAGGACTTGTAGGAAACACTCCTGGACAAACAGTTAAAAGGAAAGTGAACATTCAGAAGCCTACTGAGATTTTAGCATTACAATTTATAACTAACACATTAATACAAAACAGGTGTGAGTTAGCTCCTTCTTCAGACATTAAGATGCACGTGTAGAGGTATATGTTTCTTCTTCTGTAGAACAGATACCTGAATCACAAGTGAAATTTAACCAGCACAAAATTGCTATAACAGATGTAATAACGTGACACAACAGTTTCAGTAACGAAGCTGGCATTGTACGTTCCCACTTCATTCATACCTGTCCCCTTGCTGTAGTTTAATCACCCCACTCAACTGCTCCAATAGATGCATTTGGAGTGGCATTGTAAACCAGAGCACTGAAAGCATTCAGGTTAAAAACATCCCTTTTCTGGGAATTCTGAAGCTCTGATCTTTCCAGTTCTTCATTTTCCAGGCTGACCTCCAACAAAGAACTGTATCCACACAAGCGCTGAGGGTGAAGCAGCAGGAACAGGCAATTGGGGTGGCAGGTCTTAGACTAATTTTAATACAGACGCCAACGTGCTAAGAAGCTATGCCACACAGTGTCAGGCCAAGAAGCAAACTGTCTCCTCTGGTCTCGATGGGCAGAGAAAAACAAAACCAACCCCACTCCCTTCAACAGATCAGTAAAGTGATTGATGGGACAACAGCAAACGATCATGATGGGATTTTTATTCACCTGTTTTTCAGAAGTAGTTTCAGGGTAACCTTTTATGTTAGCCTTCCTTAAAGGAAACTACCCCTGGAATTTTATGTGGGAAACAGTGCTTATGTTAGTAACTGTTTGTATTCAACCTTCACATGCATTAGCATCTTGTGCAGCTGGCAGTTCAGAAACTAACATAGAGTCCCTGACATGGGCCAAGCTTAACTCCTTTATTAAACTGAAAATTAAATCAACAGGAAGAACTTTTGTGATGGAAAATGCTGTACTACTACAGAAACAGGAAGCGGCTTTTACAGAAAACCAACAACTGCATAGCTTATCCCAAGCTATCTCTCATCAGTATGTTTATTGCCTTACCTTCTTCCATAGTGTCTTCTTCCTCTGCTTGCTGTTTGGCCAGCTTCTTTGCTTGCTGTTCAAACCACTGTAGCCGTGGAGGTTTTTCCAATCGCTCTCTACTCTGTGATAAGCTGGCACGTTCTGTAGAAACTGGGAGGCCGCTTGCATTACTAGGAGGTAAAGGTGTCTTCTTCGGAGACGAAGATGGCTGAGCTCTGATGGCTTGCTGAATAGCTGCGTTCATTTCATCTTTGTTTACACTCTCTGGGGCCAGCCCCTTTTCCAGGTTCTTCTCATTTAATATTTTCACCTTCTTGCTCACAGCTTGAACAGCTTTCTTCTCCAATTCCAGGTGCTTCTTGGACTTCAAATGATTCTCATAGGCATTGAAGGTGGAGAACCTCTTGCTGCAAACTGTGCAGTAAGTGGCAGTGATTTTGTTCTGCTCCTCTGCTACCGCTCTCTGTGCTAGGACTCTCTCTTGGAAGTTCTCAGCAGTGACAGGAGGCATGTCAGCAACCTTACGCTTCAGATTGTACCTATGCCAGTCAGTTTTGTAATGGGCACGCTGAATGTCAGCATCCTTGAAAGCCACACGGCAAGTGATACAAGTGTAGGTTGCCATTACTAGAAAGTGTGTGGGGGAAAAATAACACTAATAAAAATAAATAGCAACCACAAAAAACCCCAAACCCAACATCCTGACAGCACCCATGTAAGACAGCATAAGAGATACAGTTCTCATACAGAATTAAGTTTATTAAACACCAGCATTAGCAAATAGCACGTTACGTACTACAAGAAGCAAATACAAGACTCTCATAGTTATCAGAGATTACTTATATCACAGTAGCACCAGAGCATCCCAGCTCTGAGCCCAGAAAATAAAGGCCATGCTATTTTATTTGAAATACTGCAAGCATCCATTCAGTGTAATGGATGCTTTTTCTTTCAGAGGAAAACATACTCTCTGCTCACTGAGGTATCCCAACTGCTTTGTGAAGCACTTTCCTCCCACCTGCAGAGCTCCCTATCCCTTTCCTACCCAAGTGGGTATTTTACTGCTATAAATCAACCGATGCAGAATCACGTTTGCTGCTAGTCACAAACGCCTTGCAGGAACCGCTGGGATAGAACAGTTTGATCTGATCCATTACAGCTTGACAGCAGCTGCACATTAGATTACCCTGGGGGTAATAAAAAAAACCCAAACAAACCAACCCATGTTGTTGTACCAGAAGAAGAGGTATGTAACTGGGAGGATCTAGAACCACAATTTATATCTGGCTACTAAGCGGAGAGATCACATCTACAATTCAAGCTGCATAAAGCAGAAAAAGCAGCCACAGGGTCCCATGCAGTTACGCCAACACTGCGGGCGCTCTCACCCGCCGTTCTAACCCACAGAACCAAAGTACTGAATCTTCCCCTGTGTGAGGCTCAGGAAAACAAAACTTGAGGCACTCACAACCCTTCAGCCCAAGGAACAGCCAAGTCCTTTGAGAAAAATCCCGTTTTCCCCGCGGGGACTTTATTACATCTACTTTTATTTGAATTTAAGTTGAGTCGGTGTCCATAAAAGACAGGCCCGGCACAGAAAGGCCTGACTGACCGGCAGGCGTTTATTATACGGACACCGGAACTCACAGCACAACTTAAACCCGGGGGAAAAAAGAACAAGTATTAAAATAAGATAAAATAAGCTCAACTATAAGATG